AACTGCCATTTTGTTTTTAGTTGGAAAAGCCATAAAGAAAATAGAAATCGGACAACTCAAACCCTGTTAGGGAGGTTAAACAATTTTTTTGATGTAAGAAATTGCAGAACCTTTGTTAAGAATTAGTGTTTTAAAAATATATTTCTGTTTTAAAAATACAGATTTGTTTCAAGACTTAATTTACACACTGTATATTAGGGAGGATTCTTTGACTAAAAAAATAAAAATCCTAAATAGCCTATGTTAATGGTTGAAGCAGAGTAAAGGAACTACAACTAACTATTTTTCACACTAAAATACGGTCATTTCAATAGTTATAAACTTACTAAATGTACCTTTTACTAATTTTTAATTTATAAAAATTAGGTAAGCTGAAATTGTATGTAATTAACACACAAATTAATTACTACAACATATTTTAAATCATTATATTGTTGCTTAACTTACCTGTTTCAGCAGGTTTTATATACAACCATTTCTAACAAAAGTAACCTGTTTTGACTTAGTTCAGTCAACTGCAGCTACACTAGATACTTACTTATATAACTACAAACTACAATTAATTGTACTAAAGAAAAATCCATGGCCTAAACAATCAAACAATTTAGACAAAAAAATATAAAAACACTCATTATACTAAAGCACTTCGTTGTTAATTGTGTCAGTAGTGTAATTATAGTTTCAAAATATGTGAATTTTCTTCTCTTTGTGTGATAAAGAACTACAGATAAGAGTGAAAGTAATAACTAATTACTGACCTCTCCTGATAACAGATTGTTTTGGCTTGTTCACCATAAATCATTGTAACTACTCCCATAATTGAGTAGGGAAAGTAATTCATTGTAAGTGATTCATATTCTCATAATGTATTTCCCTGTAGGCCTACAATAACCACAAATCATGCAGAAGTTTATTTTTGTATCATCTAAGCATATGGACCTTAACAAAATATTTATCTTGACAGAGCGACACTATTGAATCTGTAAACAGTATTAAACTTTTACTTTATTTAGATTATACTTTATCGTTGTAATAATTATTTATTGCATTTTTGTTGTTTTTGACTTCAATAAATATTAGTCTACTTTTTCAAGCTGTGATAGTATTGATAAAAATCTTTATTATGCTTTGTCAATCTGTTCTTGTAAAATGAAAAATGTAAAATATGGTGTTTGCCATGTATTCAAATAAATAAAAGTAAAATAAACTGCAAGAAAACTATATTAGAATTCTCCGAATTATGACAACCGTGATTATCACTATCAGTTTTTATTTTCACTTGTTAAGGATGACCAGAAGCATCTTGGGCATTTTAGACTATTCATTGCCAAACCAAACACATCGTTAAACCTTTGGCTATTTGAACTTGTTTGTTTACTACTTTGTTCCGCTCCAGTTTCTGGCAAACTTAACAGAAGTATACATAGATGAACTGGGAAAATTATCTTCCTTTCTACAACACATGTTTATCAATGTATGCATCCAGTTATGTAGCAAGGGGAGGTCTGGACCCCCGGCCCGGCCCCTTCTGGTCTTAAATTTTATTAAATTTGTAATGATGATGATAAACACCCCTAGTGTTTCTTTATACGGACCTATCTGCAGCCAATGGAAGAATTTAAATACCATACTATAAATAGTTAATTTTAAAAGAATCACTATTTAGCGAATTTTCCTATAGGGAAGTAGCTATTACCGTAGGTGGCATGGTAAGACCTAGACCCGGGACCGATTTACTTTTTCATTTTTATGTCCCCAGAGGCCAAAAACACCATTTGTTCAAATTTGTATATATGTATATATATATATATAGATTTATATATATACTAGTGTACCTGTTGCTCGAATTCGAGCAATTGCGAAGCATTACAGGTGACTCAAAGATTATGGAATTACTCACGATCTACACAACAGTTAGATATAATAAAAATCTTTTGTAAATATCTTATCTTTTTTCAAAAAGCTGATCTTGTTTTTTTAGCGTTTTTAGGAAAAAAAAAACATTATTTCTATTTCTCCTACTTGGTTGTGTTCTATGACTTTTTCTATGATTCCATTGTTTGCAAATCGGTTATTTCAATGATTGCTCAAGTAATGTAGAACAGTGTTACTTCAGTTTTATTTTTAGCCTATATCAAATTGTCCAGGATATCTCACTCTTTTCCATTCTATACACCAACCCAAGTTTCGTCTACAGATGCAATATGCCAACGAATATCACCTACGTACAATCTCCAGGAAGTGGTAAAAAAGGCAGAAACCAACCCATACAATAGATATAAGTTAACTCCAAAAGAAAATAGTTACTGTGATAATAGGATTTTCCACTGATTTGGTAATAGAACATTATATTGCAAAACATGACACGATGCAGAAGAAAATCCATTTTAAAATCAGAAAAACCCATTGCAAATACTGTACTTCATTTTGACAAATTCAATAAATCACAATTTAAATATTAACAGCTGTTTCATTAAAAAGTAGTGTAGAATTATGCATATGGTCGTAATGTAAACAAATCTGGAGGCAGCTATAAAGGCTTCTGGGGCAGAGCCCCAAGGGAATTGACCTCGTTCCTCTTTTGATGGCTCATCTACAGACCAAGACCTTTCTTTAGAGACCCCTACCAAGTTTCTACGCCCAGCCGTTCTCTCAAATTAGCTGTGACAAAAACCCCGTTTTCCTTCATAAGAATAACATGGGATGGGAATTCAAAGGCCACTGGGGCAGAGCCCCAAGGGAATTCACCATGTTTCTCTTTTGATGGCTCATCTACAGACCAAGACCTTTCTTTAGACACCTCTACCGAGTTTCTATGCCCAGCCGTTCTCTCAAAATAGCTGTGACAATGAAAAACAGTTTCAAATTAATATATAGATATATACGTCCGTAAACACGATAACTTGAGTATTTTTTGTCCGATTTTGATGAAATTTGGTTTAAAGGTGTAAAGCAGGATAAACTTGAATGAGTTTGCAAACCAGCATGATCGGACCATGGGAACAGGGCTTTACGGGGGGTTTATGGGGTAAAAATTGGTTTTTCACACTTTTGACCCTCAAAACACAAAATTTCCCAATTTCTCTTTAGACCTTTTAAAAGAGCTTAAAAAAGCAAATAATTTAGTATATAAAAGTATTTTTGTTCGGTTATTGGTAACGGGGAAAATTAAAAAAATTGTAATTTTAAAATTCCCATGTTATTCTTATGGAGAATATTGTAAAATGTTGTAGTTTGCTTGTTTATGGATATATTTTGATCAAACTTGTCAAATTTATTTATTTTATACTAAGCTATCAATATTTTACCAAAAAATACACTTTATTAGTTTCCTTGTAGTAGCAAACCTAGGTACTCGTTAAACCTAATGATATTTAAATATATTTAATTGAAAATAAATTCAGACAAATGGAAATTCACTTTGTCAGCAGGTTTGCTGCGGCGGGGGTATTTTAATAACAGCCCTGTAATAATAAAAATAATAGAATTGTCTAATAATAGATTCTACATACCTAGGACACACAGAGGAGACAATGCTCTAGAGGCAACACTTTGGAGGTTTCCCTAAAGGGGTTAAGCTGATTACGGCAATCCATATGAGAAGTAGGCTAGGAAGAGAAAAAGAAGAATAAAACCTTTTTATAATTTTTATAAACTAAATTATGGAAGGCTGTAAGATCAAATGTTATAGAATATGAAATAATTTCTATAATCAATCTCAGATTTAGGGGTTAGGGTGGATTATTTGGCCCAGTTACCGTCTCATTATCTCTAGAAACTAACGTAGTTGAGTCTCATGATTCTCACAATTAAACATTCTAAATTTCAATTATATGTTTGTGTTAGTTTGAACATTTAAAACTGAAGTATGTCAACAAGGAGAAATACAGAAACCCTAAGGCCACGTTTAAACGAAAGTGTATTTCATGTTATCTGAGGCAACCTGCCCTGTGTATAAACGTGGCTTAACATAACAAGGTATGTTAAAAGTTATAAGGTATGTTATGGATAAGTTAAAAAATACAAATTTGTGTTAACTTCAACTAACAAGATGGTAAACTCTTCTTTTAATTCATAAAAAAAAATTCATAAATTCATAAAAAAAATTAATGAAAAAAGTTATAAAGAAAAAAAAATGCTTTACCAGTTTTTGAAAAATCGTGACTGAAAGGGTTAACACGTTCGCTGCTACGGACGATACGGAATGTCAGCCGGGCCACGGCGCCAGGAGCTAGGATTGTTCCGGAACGACACCGTTCATTGTTGTTTAACGTTTCCATGGATCTGCCAGTTCGTCATGAGCGCCCTATATTTCTTTGCAGCTCGTGGGGACGTACATTTCTGACAATAAAAAATATAGTTTCCCAAAATCACCACCAGTCCTTTAGAACAGGGCTTTGTCCCTCCTCTTTCCTGCTCCAGTGAAGATTTCAACACCCAGGACTATTTTTCGCAATCGCTGCTACACTGTGATCATCTTGTATCTGCGGCGAAATTTGTGATGATTTCTCAAGATAATTTCTTGTGATTGTGGCAACATCCGTGATTTGTGATAGTTTCCTGCGATCGCGATTTTCAATTATTCAATACAAGAAAATTGGCAATTTAGAGCAGATTTGTCGGCTACAACTAAAAAATTCAATGTCCCATCCTTAAAAAATTTACTTACAATTCACATATTATTTCGGTCATCAAAACTCGTAGACGATTCCTGGTTCCTAGGTTGGTTGGACATCCTAAGTACGCATACAACTTCGAGTAATGAAGGCATATCATGACAACTTCGACTTGCAAAGATTAAATTTGAGTTATTGAAACTTCTAGTTATAGAGGTTTACTATGATTTATTAATCTCAAAAAAGTAAAATTCGACTTATTATAATTAATAAATATTTGAAGCCTTTACTTATAACAATACTTTTAGCATTGTGAGTTTCTGGGATTTTAAGGGATTGGAACCAAAACAACTAAATTAACATAAAATTATACTTTTAATGGTCAATAAAATATAATAGTAATAAAACTGTATAAATTCACAATGAGTACACATTTACTACTTGTAATAATTACATAACCAAACGCTTTATAAAAAAATTACAATTAAATAAACAATATGGCTAGATAATTTAAAGAGCATGATTCAAAAAGCCCCCATGTAGGAATTTGTTCAATACTTTAATAATACTACTTCTAATGCCTTATCCCATTAAACATTAATAATCCGCATAAATATCTCTAATAATAGTGAGCATAATCATTCAAATTATAAACAAATAGAAATACCTGACTAAACGGTAACACAGATTTCAATGACATAGATTTGTATATAAACTGTATGCTCAACTAGTAACACAAAATTAACCTGTCTTCAGCTAAACTTGTAGACATAACCAATTAAATACCATCTTGACACTTATTCGATTTCTGAAAGCACTTTGAAATTAAAAATGGCACCGTACAATAAAAGTATATTTTAAGCATACTGATAGTACCTGTATCGAGAGTAACTTAGAACATTGTTACTTCAGTTTTTCAAACTCTCAACAAGTAAAAATTTTTAAAAACTCTATGAGTTGAATTTAATAATGACTGTAACAGGTGTTTAAGTTAAGCTCTCTCATTAGATTTAGTAACATTTTTACAATGGTTATTTTAAATTTTCTGTAGCAAGTTTAGTTAGTATAATCAAGACCACTGTCCATTATTTAGCCCATTCACAAAATTTAGTCGGTTTAAGGGGAAAGTTTCCCGAGTTCCCCTACCTTGTTTTTAAGCCTTATCTATATATCAGCTGTCGGCTGTTGTTTCAGAGTTAGAGGAGATGGATCGATTCCCCTCAATACGCCTACATAGTGAGATAGGAGAGGTTGTTACGTAAAGTTTGGACACAATGTTCTGAGTCTCTCGGTGTAAGCTGTGGTGATACAGTGTAATGGCAGTTACAGCTCGGTGGTCATATGTGAGGTAAGTGCTTGTACTCTCTTGGCATTGCAACTCTTGCACAGAACATGGTCATCTAGAGGGTAACATCCCCTCCCTTCCGCTTCTGTAGATAACACCAAACCACAATCCTGAAAATTATTAAATAAATCTTTAGTTTTCTTCAAACCAATTTTCCATAGAGGGAAGAAGCTATGAACTTAATTCCTCTATACCTACTTTCTAAAGCAACCTGATTTTGGCCTGAACCAATTTTGACCCAAGATCTGAAGGATTTTTAATCTGCCACGACCTGAAATATAAAAGTCTGGTTCGCAGACCCTTACATTTTGAAGAAGAGTGTAATCATATGTTGATTTGAAAAAATTCTCAAACTAGCTTCATGTGTGATAAAAATTGGGGTTTCCCATTTCTGGTCCTTAAAACAAAGAAAATTTGCAATTTCTTCTGAAACCATTTTGTAGAGCTTAAAGGTTAAAACACTTTTACATTTTAATTGCACTGCAGTTTTTAGGGGTAAAGGCAGTATTGTTTAGACATGTCCCAAGACTATTTTCTCATAGGGAACAGAAGATTACTGCTTCATCATCATCGTAGACCTCAGGTGAGTAATTTTTAATTACTTACAAATGTTAGAGTACGTAACAATAGAAAGAATCCTATAAAAATAATCATAGGGGGAAGGACTTTTTACCCTGCATGTTATCTACCAGCTTTCTGTGCCGGGGGATCATCTGTCCGAGGTGAGTGGCAATTGGCATTGATCTTGAGTGAGAAGAACAATGGATCGCATACTTTCATCAGTTATTTGTGGACACAATTCAATAATTCATGATGTTGCACATTAACACTTCTTGGCCCTTCGCCCATATTGTGATATGGCAAGACAGGATTCAAAAATATTGTGAATCAAACGCCAGTAAATTACTATTATATTATAATAAGTCGCAGTTTCTGAGCCACAGAAAGCCATGGTTGAATAGAAATACATTATTGATCTACATAGTACAGTTAGTATTAATCCATGTGTCACCCATTGTCCGCGACTCAAACAAACTCCATTTGCCTCTTCATGTGGAATTTGGTCTCTTGAATAGATCTCTAGACAGAGGATCCTGGAGGCACATGGTGGGCGAGGCCAAAGACCACCTTGGTTTTCAATGGCCACAGGAGTAAGTAAGTAAGTATGTTATATAACTTATTATAGTCAGTAGGGATGTCCAAAATACCCTCCAAGAATATTACTGCCTTTGTCCATATTAAACTTATTTAATCCGGAAATCCGGACAATTTGGATCCCCTTAATGAGAGTTTACTGCACCAGACTTACTTCACATTTGTAGCAAGCTATGTGGAAACTGCGGTCCAGAGCGACCACACGCACAGTCTCGTCCTGACCTGGCTCAGGCATGATGGGCAGACTACACACACAGCACCTCGGGGCAAACTTTCTGTAAAACAATCACAGTCTTGAGTCATAACACAACTCACATTGACTGTCAATACTTAGCAGTCAGATTTTAAGTTTACATTCCCAGATACTGCAATCTGTTTAATTTACTTTAAATGTTTGGTACGAGTTACAAAGCATAAGTAACTTAAAGTGTCGTTTTCAATTTAGTTGATTATTAGCTAAAAAATCCCTTTTTTCTACAAAGTCAAATATAAAATTTCTAATCCAAGTTAGTCTGCTTCATCTACGTTGTTGGTACGGAATGAGCCTGCACAGATTGTGCAGTCATATAAAGATAATGATGACAGCAATCGAGTGTTCTCTTGGCAATGATGGCCAGTGGATAACCAAATTAATGTTGACTTCCCAACACATTTAGGTACAGTAGAACCTCGCTAATCCGTCACCTACGGGACCGGGAGCATAGTTGGAACAGCAAAAAGGTTGAATTATCAAAGGAACGTGTTTATTGACATAAAAACATAGTACAAACTGTATTTTGAATAGCCCACGGATAACTGAAAACCACACTTAATCCAACATGACATAAAGCAGTCATTTCTAACTCATAAACAACGCCTAATACTGAATAACTTTAATGTGACTTTAATGTGATAATTTGCATATTACATCATCAAAATACAATTAGTAGGCTATTGCCCAATCATGATAATTATGCTGAGTCATTAAACTTGGTTCAGTAATAAAAACTGTAATGTTAAAAATTAAAGCTTTCTCAAACTTTTACTCAAACAAACTAATTGCCAAACATTCTACAGCAAAATAAAGAACAGAACGATAGATAGTCTAGTAGGCTACTGCTAGTCATAGGATACTGCTACGCTGTTTCAGGACAGAAGAATGTGGATAAAAACATTAGATAACACTTCAGGAAATTTTACTGGGACACAGGCCCGCGATTGTGCGACAGGTTCAGCCACACAGGCCCCTTATCATAACAATATTTATGTGAGAATTACCATACTTTTTTTATGACGAAAATTTGTTAAAACCAGTAAGAGCACTAGGAAAAGTAGTTAACAACAGACACTAAACTGACACCATTACTTGACCGATCAATATAAATTCCCTACCAACCTAAAAAAAAATTGTCATCAGTCATGCAGGTTGCATCAACTGTCCTCGTGGACTGTGTGAATGCGCTATATTAGGGCCGTTTTTAGAACCAATGTGGCCCCTGGCCTAGGAGGATAATCATCCTTATAATCATGTTATCATCCTAGCTCCCGGTGGGTCACACCGAGAAGGCCCTCTATGCTGATTCAACTAAATGAACTTGACAATGTTTTTATGATCGAATCAGCGAATTAACCTAGGTGGCTAGGGCACTAGCTAATAAATAATTCCATTCTTTCATTGATGCTAAAGATGGGTTTTCATTTAATTTCATTTCTTACTATTAGGAGGCTGCACTTTAGATTTATTTACTTCGCACTTAATATTTTGTTTACTTCAAGTCAGGTAAAAAAAGTTACTTACCTATAGGCCTCAGGCCAAATCAGATAGGTTCAAAATCGGTTTGCTTTGGAACTGTTGATTTTTATATAATGTTGATTTTCGAGCCGAACAGAGACTGGCCTACAAGCTTGAGGGATCAAGCACAAAGTCAGAAAATCAAGCTCGAGCCGATTTTCTCAGTACTCAATACAATAATGCCCAATTAAAACCCTGCTAAACTTTTACTAAAAGTTTTTTAAAAACTTTTAAGTCTGCGAGGATCACGCTTATGAAATTGAAAGATTAGGCCTACACTTTTGCCGCGATCGCGGATATTGACGAGAAAATTTCCCCGCGGGTGACGATGGCGATGTCTCCCCAGCCGAAGGAGATGTTCAATATATAGCCGTGATTGCGGAAGACGATAATGATGTTTCTTTTTCCGTGAGAGATATATCTAAGATTTTGCCGCGATTGCGGAAAAAATAATTTCCCCGTCACCACGGGTTACGGGAGATATTAGGGATTGGACCATGAATGCGGGAGACTATGATGTTGTTATCTGATGATGTCATAGGTTTGGCTGCAATCACGGTATAATGTTTCTTACATGACTACGGGAAGTATTCACGATTTTGCTGCGATCATGGAAAACGATGATGACGCCTCGGTGCCTCGGGAGATACATTGCCAAGCAAACAAGCAAGGCAAACAAACTTGGGGGGGGGGGGCCGCGGGCTCTTATCGCCACCACTGGTTACTAATCACCCAATCACAGACTGGGCTACTAAAGTTGTCATGGTGATCAAATACCCAATAACAAAATGTTGTGACAAAGCAAGCGCACAACTGACAGATGTGTCATGAGTAGGAGCACACGATTGTCAGTGCAATGCAAACGGATAGCTTGACCTTGAAGCTTTGTTCAATATTTCTTTGTTTTGCTTCCACTTTATTTTTGTCAAATGAACTGTGATTTGACAAAAACAATAATGTGGGAGCCTACTGCATACAAATAATAGGGGTGGGCGAGTACTCGACCTTCGAGTAATTACTCGAGTTTTTTCAAATACTCGACCTCGAGTCGAGTAGTAATTACTACTCGAAAATTTCGAGTAGTTATAAATAGTGCTAATTCACGATTTTCTACATCCATATTTAATAAATTGTATTTTGTTTTGTGTTGATGCCTTATTTTATCCCCATTCCTACAAAAAACAACTATCTAACCTCATATAGGTTAGACCAGCGTAAACCAAATGTTCAACAAACACCCATCGTCATTCGGCAGAGCTAGCAAGAGGACTACTACTACTAACAACAGACTTTCACTTTCCTACAACAGTCAACAGTACGTCTCGATAACGATACAGTAAGTTGAAATAAAGCATTGAATGAGTCTATCGAATTGCAATAGTCGATAGTCAATAAGGGAGTCTCGTGACTAGTAGGCCTAACAATGGCAGACGATTCTTGAAGATATTATAAAGTACAGTATCAGATTTAGTTTGAACTGCCATAAAAATATTTTATACCAAAATATAGAAATACAACAAATAAAAATAACCTATTGTAGCATAATATTTTTTCAAATTAATCGGTATTGGTGTTTAGTTTTACAAACCGATAAGTTACTGCAAGGAACATCGATGCATCTGAATGACGCAATCTCATTGGGTCTAGGCAAATGGCAGAAAGAAAAGATCAGTTCCACTTTAAACTCAGTGTTGTCAGATGGACGATAATTTTTGTACTTTTACAACTGTGGTATTGGCGTAATAAGTATAATTTTCTAATGAGTTTACATAAACATGATTTAAATTAGTCAAACTATTAACTTTTTTTACGAAATAAAAGCTATAACAATTTTATGATAATTTTGCCGACATTCACCATAATGGTGTAATGATAAATATGGCAACGTCAGCCCTGCAAAACAGCTGTTTGATGGGAAAACAAAGCAGAAGCAGACAGCAGGAGCAGACCGACTAGAGAGAGAGAGAGAGAAAGAGAGAGATAAAGATGGTGACGCATAGCAACAACAAGAACAAAACAAAACAATGGATTGGAGTGAAGTTATGTCAACGTCAGTTTTGAATGTTTTTACTTTGAAGTCAATTTGTAACTTAAAATAAAATTGATTTTGTTAGTGGAAGTTTAATAGAAAGTAAAATAAACATATTCTGTTTGTGATTTTGATTGTGCAATTTTCAATCTGGTGGCAGAAACATGACAACTACAGTTTGAATTGTAACTTAATCTAGAAAATTTTAGTTTATAAAGAAAGGCCAAATAGGCTATAGGCTACACCAAACAGTGAAATGTGTTTTAATTTTAAATTAAGTGTTTAATGTGGGATTTTATTTCAAGATAATAGGCCTACTATGTTTTTATTTGACATTTTCAGTCTGTCAGAGACGAGTGACTTGATCATTTTTATAAATGAACTGAGTGAAGAGGATAGCCCTAGTACCCATAACCTTCAAACTTCAGACAGATTAAGTGCTTATCCAAGTGATTACCTATTTTAAAATACCTCATTGATGTTTTTAACTTGTGATACAATATGTAGTTTTATATAAGTTTTCTGTTAAATAAATAAATTTATTTTTATAAATTCTGTTTCTTATTTGAATTGAAATTATTCTTAAAGTTAGGTACCTTATTAAGTTAGTTAGTTAGGTTGATTATCATGTTAGTGAGGAGGAATTAAAGGCAAGAAAAAATAAAACACACAATAACAAGTGATGTGTAGGCCTAAATAATTTAATGCGCAGCCAACAAGTAGTCTAGGCCAAATTTTTTATTAGGCCTAAGGTAGGAGGTACTAATAATTAGTAACCATATAACTTAGAAAATTTGGTATAAGTACTTAAACTACCTATTTAGGCCTAGGCAGGGTCTAGGCTAGGATGAAATTTTTTCAGCAAAATGCTGCAAACTCTCTGCAAAGACAAAAACTAAGTTAGGCCTAACATAACTTAAGCATTTAAAACAAAAAATTCCAGTAGGCTAATATTACATTTGTTTGAACATTACATCTTTCAATTTTATTTGTAGAAAATTTGCCATAGGCCTAGCATGCAAAACAATGTAAACTTAGCATTTTTAAGTTGTGAATAGCAAGATGCTAAAAATACTACCGCAGCATAAACCCTGGGCCTAGGCCTACTTAACGCGCAACTACTCGACTCGACTCGATACTCGAGTTTTTACTCAAATACTCGACTCGACTCGAATTGAAAAATCACTACTCGCCCACCCCTAACAAATAATGGGCAGAAATAGTTAAGTGTACAGTACAACAAATTTCAACACATTAGACTTTATAAAATGTATAAAGTAAAGGAAACACAAATTATAAAATTTCCTAGGTATTTTTCTTGGACAATGAGGTTATGTTAGTGGAAGCCTATCGTGTTGGCGGCACGGTCGTACCAAGCAAGGAGTCGGACCATTCGTAGGTATATTAGCGAGGTTCTACTGTTTCTACTAATCAAGCATTCTGATTAGCAAACAAGAAAAAAGACGGTTTTGAGCCCTAAATAATTAAACAAACAAATATTAGCATCGGCCTATAGATTTTTCTAACTGTAGGACTGCTCTTTTTTGGTTTAGTAGATGAATCACAATTTATAATGCATCTCTGTTCAAAAACTATCTAGATCACTCATCAAAATAAATTTTAAAATATGTTTAGGCTCCATTAATAGACTTACAGTTGAAGGGTTGTTATATGATCAGAAATTGAGGTGTGAACAAGATAACAACATGTTACAGCTACATTAATTCACATAGTTGTAATTTTTAATCAACAACAATACTAAGTACTAACTTGTGGAAGTCCTCGATACAATGTATTTGGTTGGTAGCATCGACAGTAAAAGGTATGCCGTCTAGAGACTTGCCGCAGACGATACAGCAGAAACACCGAGGATGGTACGGTCGACCAGTGGCTCTCAGGATACGGTCCAAGATAGGACTCATGCACACCGAGCACTTCTCCAGGGTGTCCTGCACAGTAAAGTATTGTTTATGTGAATTAGTATCTCCTCATATCTAAACCGGTAGTACCAAAATGGTATTCGACCAAGATACTGAGATGGTAATACAAAATGGTATTTGGCTACTGTTAAGTCTTACAGTTTAAAAACTAAAGGAGACAAAGAACAGGATAAACAACAATTAAATTTACAAATTTATTTATAAGTAGAGATGGACGGGAAATTTTAAACCTCACTCTACAAGACACAATTTTATTTTGATTTGAGTTTTTTTTAGACGAGATTAAAAAAAAGCTCCTGCAGAAAGTCAATGCAATACCCGCAATACAGAAGCATGTTGTTGTTGTGTTTCCTTTGCAAAAGCATGGTTTTATAACTTTTGATTTTGACATAGAAAATGATGAGAAGTTTTGTTTTACTACATGTTTTACTACTGTAAACATAGCCAAAACAAGTCACTACAAAATCATTCTAAAAATAACACAACGCTGAACAATTGTTACTTGATACCATAGACAAAAAAAATAAATATAGACTGTCAGCTGTGCTGCGGTTACCATAGGTTCTGGCGCACACCACTAGTAGCGCCATGTAGTTACGGCTTACACGCTACGTAACTACACGGTGCTTCCAGCGGTCCGTGGTAGAACCTATGGTAACCGCAGCACGGCTGACAGTCTATATTTAATTCTTTTTTCCATGTTGATCCTTAACTAGTAAGACTGATGTTTCAGACTGATGAATTTTGTATTTTTTATTTTAACTATATCCTAACTGATATGAGTACACCATAGAGATAAGTAAGACCATTGTTGTATCTAAATCGATGCTCTGCCCACGAGTCTTAAAAAAATCCTATGCAAATTATTTTACTGCTTGACTTCTTTAAAACTGCCAAGATAGCTATGTTCTTTAATAAAAGTACTACAGTACAACAAATAATAACAAAAATAATTGTCTTTTATATACGCCCAAAACATATATTTTTTAAATGTCAGAACAAAATAGTTCTATTAAATTAGCGTTAGTTTTGACTGCCCTATTACCGCCGCTGAACAATAGATACTAACTTAAAAATTCTTTTTAGAAACTCCTTTACATGCATCCATAGATCTTTCAATTCTTTATACAGCCCTAGGCCACGCTCACATATTGTTTTCCCCACACGGTAGCTCACTTTCTCCCTTCGCTCTGTCTCACTCTACTCTTTACTCGACCATCCATTCCTTCCACCGAAATACCCGTTCTGGTACTGTCGGGGAGAAAAGGTTTCTTACAGGTAGTCTTATCCATTGGCATTCTCTTTTATGGCCCCTGTATTTACGGGTTTGATAAGCCCAGTAGCCGTGTCTCCTGCACTCAAAGAAACAACAAATCTTAGCCAGCAACAAAGTTACATAAGACATCCCACAATCATCGTCCATTCTCTTAATAGCATTAGTGTAAAGTCTACTGACCAGGTAGCCGTGTTCACAGAAAGGCTGTCCGTCCAGAGTGTAGAAAGGTTTCCCCTGCAGCAGATCTCCGCAATGAGAGCAAGTGAAGCAGTTGATGTGGTAGACTTTGTCCATGGCTGTGCATCCAGACTCTTCCCCCACCACTCTCTGACCACACTTACAACAGTCTCCTGCAAAACACCACGACATTCTACTAAGCCACAACCACAGAAAATAACAGATCCAATAACTCTATTTCCATATTCTGTCAAAGAATGTTTTCACACACAAAATCTCTTCTATGCTTTTTCCCAAAGAACCACTTGTGGAGGTATCTCAGTATCTCTACTATCGATAATTTCAATGAAATCCCTACTATACTATACAAGCTAACTACCCTACTACTATACTAGCCAAGTGCCTTTTTTTAGGAATTACCATAATATTCCATAGCCATGAGTAGGTTTTAAATATCAAGGGGTTGCTCAGGGGAATGATTAGTAAATTACGTAGCTTTTCAAAATTTATTTTGACGTCCTTAAGGTAGGCCTATGCTATTTCATTAATGTTTCCTCCTTTCATAATAGCTTATCAAATTGGGTATATAGCATGCAAGAAATAAGACAGTTTGAGGGAACAAAGGGAAAGCACTCTTGGAACTTTGGCATGAGACAGACACCTGCCTTAGCCAGAGCTCATAGACAGGATGCTGCACTTAATGAAATTGGATAGGCTCTAAGGCACGAGAATTGGTAAATAAAAGCCCGCATAGGGCTTATGCAGCTAAGGATAAGGCCTGCTTTTACACAATCAATAAGTTAATCAAGTTTATGTTATGTTTAAAAATTGCTCAGCCAAAACTCCTGTATTCATCAACAACTCTCCATCAATACTTAACAGAAAAATGAATGGATAACCTCAAAATCAGTGATTTAACTAACCATATATCTCAGAGTCGGGTGAGTTGGAGTCCATGGATTGTACAAGGAGATCTGTAAGGGCATCCACCACACCTTCCTGAGATCCGTGTGCGCCTGGTGGAGGACATCCCTTGACATATGGGGTGTACAATGAGTAGTTAGACCTAGATGACATGCCACTGGGTGGCCGCGGGTTGATTGGCTCGTAGATACTCTCATACGTGGTCGACCCCTTCAACAAAACAGATATTTAGCAAACAGTTGAGATGCTCTAGCAACTTACAGTAAATAAATGAGATGATTATTTAGATGCAAGATTTACTCAGTTTCAGAAAGTTTCTGTAGTGTTAGGCCTAAAATATCATTATGAAATTTGTCACCTATAAAAAAATAAGTTTTCTCAGCTGAGGATTCTCCATTTCACATTCACCGTGCAGTACAGATCATCCATATGCCATGGATTTCAAATGGCAGTTTAAGTGACACTAGCTGTCCTAAAAATTAAGACCCGTGAAACGTCCCTTCACTTTTTACTTTTATTATTTTATTTTTCTACTATTCTAAATTTAAACATTCTAGTGTAAAAATATATATTATCAAATGTTTTAGCACCTCCTATAATATATGTATAGTAACAGTTGACGCTAACTATAAGACAATAAACATCATTCTTCCAGTAATATTAATAGAACGACTATGACCTGGAAAGACCTGTACTACTGCACAATGCTCACCTGAGAGGAAGGTGTGTAAGTACTGTAGTCTGGCGGGTAGTGGTGAGTAGCTCTACGTAGCTCAGAGTAGCTACTACTGTATTATTCTTCCAGTAATATCAATAGAACGACTATGTCCTGGAAAGACCTGTACTACTGCACAATGCTCACCTGAGAGGAAGGTGTGTAAGTACTGTAGTCTGGCGGGTAGTGGTGAGTAGCTCTACGTAGCTCAGAGTAGCTACTACTGACTGGTGACGGGGGAGGAGGCAAGTCTGAGGGTGGAGGGGGGAAGTCACTGAACTCTGACGGCTTGGGCGGAGGTGGTGGTAAGTCATCTGAAAATATAGGTTTTTTAAGCGGTTGGCAGCCTATTTTAACCTTGCATTTGCCCATCCACAAGGCGTCTCGAGCCTGTACAAGGAACTTATTCATCAAAGAAAGTGTGAGCTGATGCAGTGCAAGAATGGTAAAGTTTAGTGGCGAGCATTAGGACGCAAATCCACAACATCGCTGCCATAGATTTGTAGTCTGAGCAGCTACTGACTCACCAGTTAGTGATTGCATGGTTTTCACTCAAGGATAATGTATAAAAAACCTTCAAACAATCATAGCTGAGTATCCTAATATAATAACAACCATTTGTGAACAATATAATATGGAAATGTTACTAATTTTAGAACTAAAACACTAACTAATCTATACTTATTTAATACGCAAGCAGGATTTTTGTGACAATTACTCCTCCGAAACTACTGAACCGATTGACATGTTTTTGGTCTCATTGGAAATAATTAGAGAGTGAGGCCCTGGGGCCTTTTAAGTTTCGTATTCCTCCATAAGATTAACATGGGAAACAAACATTGTTATGCAACTCCAGCTGTTATCAAAAATTAAAAGTGAGAAGAAGAGCATATGTTAATTATAAAATCGTGACAGAGAGGTTATGTAGAAAATCAGGTAGTTAATGGTTATTTGGTACTATTAAAATAAAGACTGAAATTTGTAAACGTACTGGCGACAATGGGTGATACCATGCAGATTATATTATCATTGACAAAGACCAACATGGATAACCTATTGCGGCTATAAGTGGGAAACATTTGTACAATACACTAAAAGCCAGATCAGCTTTTGAAAAATGATGAAATATATTTACAAGAAATGTTTATTATATTGAACTGTTAAGTACATTGTGAGTACGGGTTTACCATTAGTTAAGTAATCTTTGAGTTGACTCTTTTATTCAAACTCATGGAATTTATGACTTATATTTGTTTATAAATAAGTTATTTGTTTTTAAATAACTCCTTTACTTCTTTGTGATTGCTCGATTTCGAGCAACATGTACCCTAGTATAAATAGTTTCAACAATGTTTAACAATAGAAGAATAATTGTACAATTGGTTTACAAACACAGCACTGGGTTGTATACTGGTAGCCTGAATGGTAGCTTTCTCAATCTATATGAGTAACTGACTGGAAAGAGGATGGCACTTGAGGCTCTACGCTTACTCGTTTAGTTGTTTGTTATCATTCAACTGGAAGGACCTGATGAAATGATGCTTGGAAGCATGGCTGTTAAGTGGTTTTGCTATGTGATTGTAATAAGCCTTTAGAGAATAAAACTTGGGTTTTTTAAGCAAAACTGAATATAACAATCAAATAGAATAAATAAACAAATCTGACTAAAACATTAAGAATGTCAACTGACATTTATACAGTACTTAAAATATCACCACATTCTTCTGCTCTAGTAAATTTTATAACATCATATTTCTTAGGTAATGCCTTTGGTCTGGTCGACCGACGTGGTGAAACGAAGGGATGAGGTTGCTCGCAAGGAGTGCTGCTGGTTTGATGTTCATCATTTTCAGGAACACCATCCGACATTGCTGGTGGTAAACATAAATTCGAATAGCTTTGTAGAAGTGATTGTGACGAGGTAATGTTCTGTTCCATCTGTTCATTACCGGCTTCGTTTTCATAAGTAGGATTTGTTGGATTTTGTATTACATTTACGTAGAAGTAAGCGAGTAAGCTACAATCTCGGCTACCAGCGGACACCCCGTCTATGCTGTGTACATGATGGCCTTGGAAGACGTTCATGATTTTGCTTTGACTGCAGACTAAAATTAGGTTTTCCTGGTGAAATTAGAAAATTTTCGTACAGTTCCAGAGTTGTTATCGATAATAAAATTTCCGGTGTTCTTGGTTTTGGCTACCTTGTAGGTCGGATATCCTGAGGATTCAGTTACCCTAAGGTCGGATTTGAGGAGTTCTACTGTACTTAGATACAAAGTATTTTTCCAGCTTTGGATAGCTCAGTAAATATTGGCACCAAGTTTAGTGACACTCTAACCTAACAATACAGATTTTTCAAGTGTAACCTAACATTTTCACCTAATTACAACGTGATTTGGCATAATGTTACACCTTTAACATTTAGAACCTTTGCAGGTTAGAAACTGGAATTAATAGCATATTGTTTGCAACCTAATCCCCATTCTGCCACAGATACATAAACTCTACACTGACAGGTTGTTAATAGGCATAAGTGTTTACCGACTAAGTTGGCGTATGTGGACATGTTGCTGTAGGTGGGGTTGTTGGTGTTGGCATAGACAGCGCTGTTCTGTGGCTCAGCCTTCTGGTACCTGGGTTTGTACGGTTCAATGTTGTTGTAGGTAGCTGTGGAACTGGCCGAACTCCCATTGCTTGCTATTGACCCTGTAAAACAACAACTCATTTGCACATTGGCTATGGTGATAAAATGAATACATTATAACAAGTGTAAACTGCTTGTGTTAAAACTTACCGACTCCGAGCCTCAATAAATTTTAGAATATACTGAAAAACTTTTAAACTATGATTCCCATGATCTGTATTTCTGGTGCTTGCCAGGACATTCTGTAAAAAAGGCCAATCACATTCCAATTTAGGAAATTATTTTGAGCAATTGGAAGCAAAGTTTAAATTCATTCAAAGCCTGGTTTTCTGCAGTCTCAACTAGGCTAACTGGATGAACTAAAACCATAATCTAGAACTTTTTCCCACATTATTTCATAAGAATACAAATTAAAAAATATAAATAAGTTACAAGAAATTAAGAGAAAATGTCTCAAGTAATTAACCAATTTTATATAGGCCTAAGTTAAGTTATAAAAATAAAGCTCTTACGATGAACTAAAGCGAACACTCACCTGATCCATGGTCTATGTTTGAGTATATAGGAGGAGCAGGTCGTCGCTCTGGTGTAGTGCTAGTGGCAGTTACTCCACCACTCAGTGGTGAGGTGAAAGAGGGTTCACTGGGACCATTGAGTGGGTAGCTCTTGGGTACCTGGACCACAAACATACAACTGTACATGAGTTTATATGAGGAGGGTGCCACAGGAAATGTAAAGGAAATTTGGATTTTACCACCCCAACCTCTTTCTTTTTCATTAAACTTCTAGATAAAAACTTTCCATTAATCACACAGTGTGTCTATTTCAAGTTTTAATAAAAAGGTTAATTACCTGTAGTACTGTCAGTGATCTTGGATTTAGGTCAGCGACCCAGGTAGTAAATTATGTGATCCAGAGGCTAAACATGTTCAAGTTTTAAGCAATGCAGTGCCTATCAGTCTGCATATCATATTTAAATTATAACAGTTGACAACTTACCAGTGGTTGTTTCTTAGGTTTGGGTGGGACAGCAGGCCCAGGTTTCTTTCCCGGGGAAGTCTGCACTCCCAGCTTCAGGTCTGCCAACTGCTGCTCAAGACGGCTAGTCATTTCTCTGAAACATCAAGGTGCCTTCATCTTACTACTGGAACACACTACTGTACTGTAATTCCCATGTTATGAATGTAGACAGAATTTAGCATATTTAATTACTCTGTGAAAAGGTCAGGAACTTAAGTTTATTTAACAAATAATGGAACAACAAAGTAGGTCTAGGGTACTGTACTTATTCTATGCAATAATCACTTCTATTTACTGTAAGGACCTTGGGATCAGACTGGACAAAGCGGATGACGTGAGACTCCTGTCACAATATGAATCAAATAGCAGTGCTGTACAGATATCGACCAATGAAGCAACAGCATCAGATATCAAAGCAAATTTTAATTCATAGATTGACATAGTTGTTTTGTACTGACCGGTAGGTCTAGGGCTACCTAATCAGAGAATGTTTTTAAGCTAATTATAACACATCATAAAACAAAAGTTTAATTATTCCAAAAGCTTGTTTCTCTTTTCCAAGACAACTACTAAACTGGCTGATACCTTTGCTGATACATACCTAGTTTAAATGAGACATTCTTGTACCATATATCAATTTAAATTCTATTCAATTTTTAACTGATTTTAACTTTTAGCTGTAGGCCTATAACATATCACATTTAATAGATGACACTCATTTTATGTACAGTCATAGCCTACTTGAGTTTCCCTATGAGTCAACAGCCTGCCAGAGAATGATGTCAACAGGCTAGGCTCATTTACTGATAACACCACATTCTTTCACAGAAAACATTCTCTTATCTGACCGTCACCAATAGAAAGGTGTTCAATGATTAGGCCTAAAATGGCATGTGAAACTGTTTCATTCTAAACTTTATCAAGCTATGTTACTGTGAGTTAGGGTAGTTTATTGACTAACCAATCAGTAAATTAAGTTTATTTTATTTGAACGTTAAGTTAATGCTAATTTATTCATGTAAATGAAAAACTGTTACAATAGGCCTAAGTTATATTTAAATAAAAATATATATTTCTTCCCTTTAAAACAATGAATTCTTAAACCATATAAACAGTGATGAATAAGCCTTTTCATAAATGAATATTGTGCCAAAACTATATCCTATACAATTTGACTTAAAAATACATTTGTAATATTATTAATCTGATAGGCAATTATGACTTATCACAGGTTCTCTGTGAAGCTGTACTAATCATTCTAACTCAATTCATCACTATTACAAGAAGATAAAACACAGGCCTATAGAGCCTAATTATATCAGCTTGTAACAAATAAATCATGAACAAATAACAAATAAAATGTTTTGTGTATAGGCCTGACCCTGATTCTGGATTTGTAGGAATAAGTTATACAAGCAGTAATTAAAATGAACGGCAAAATTTTATTTATATAAACTTTCAATACTGGACCGGAACGGATGGCTAGATTTTAGAACATTGGCTCTTATGTACGCTTTCACAAATGTGCGGAGCGGGCTGGTTTTGCCCGGACATAAATCAGTAGTTTTGACAGTTTGCGTCTATTAGTGGTTGAGTGTAGTTGACAATCACTCGTGTTAACCTAATAATTTGACGAAAAGTCTTTCGACGGGAGAAATATTCCTTTTAAACTTAACTCCTGGAATGATCTCATCTGGCCCTCTTCCTTTGGTTGCGGCCAATGCTAACAGCATCCTGTTGACATCATGAAATAAGACAGAACATTCAGAGATATTGAAGGGGGTTTTGAACACACACACAGGCAGTTCTGAGTTCTCTATGATGAGCGGGAGAGTAGACGGATGAAAAGAATTCAGCAAAGAGTTTACACGACTTCTCATGATTAGAGGCCTCACACGAACCTTCTCATTATTAGTCTGACAGTTGCAAGAATAGGTGACAAACAATTAATGCCTTTGACAAAGCTCCAGAAGACCTTGACATTGGAGGTGATGGTTGAATTGACGTTGTCGATGAATCTTGTCTCAGTAAGGTCTTGTAACTTTAGAAGAATCTAGCCTAATAGGCAAGCATGTTTCTTTAAAATCGCATGCTGAAAATCTACGCATGATGTTAGAAAGATATTTTCCTGTAGACGTGCAGAATCCATTTATAAATTAAAATAGACTAAAAAATAAGCACAAAAATGAATTTAAAATTAAGACAAAATTTACATGGGCCTTATGGGTTGCCATGCTGGTGACGAAATAGCAAAAAAATAACTTATAAGTGGAAAATCGAAACAAATAGAAGAAATTCTAATCACATGTTTTATTTACTGAGTCCTAAAATAAATATAAAACCACCTTTCGTCTTTCTTTGGATCCGGCATAAGGGTATGGTACTCGCCAAATAAATGTCCATTTAGATTGATTTCATGAACCTAAACAGATCGCCGTCTTGCAGCTTCATCTTAACTTCAGCTGTTGCTAGCAAAAGCAAAGCTTCTTCTTCTTGTACATTACGATTCATGACATGAACGCATAAAATACGAACATTCACTTAACTGGATGGAAATGAACTGAGGAGTCGTCCCGCTTCCCGCTGCCTGCAGCTTCGGTGTGGGCTACCTCTTTCCCGCCACGTATCGCTGCCGCTGGTTCCCGCCGGTCATTCGCCCCCTTCCCGCTCCCGCCACTTTCCCGCTTCGGTTTGGACAAGCCTTAAGGGTAAAAACCATCTGTGCAACATTAAGGCCCAGCAGCATATGTCTAAGGAGGACAAGAAAGAAGTGGAGGACCCTTAAAGAGTTTGAATATGGGGCTGGAGTCAGCTTTTTATTAATTTAAATAGGAAATGTTTATTGTTTTTCCATGTTCAAGTTGTATTATTACTTATCTATAATATTAAAACGAAACAGTGTTTTTTTATTTCACGATTCTGAATCAACCACTCGACGGATTTTCATGATTTTTGTGTTGAAAGAAAGATAATTTTGAGAACTAGGGAATGTCGAAGCCATAATTTTAGTTTAGGGTCCCAGTTTTTTAGAAATTAAGTTTTAATTTTTAAAAAGTCTAGCAGTCGACGCTAAGATTCTAAACTAGCTTTTGGCATAAAATAATTTGCTTAACATAACAGCTGTAAACATTCAGCTTTTGTGTCACAAATTCAGCATTTGGATAAAAACATGGATAAAAATGTAAAGACATACTGAGGGTTGACTTATTTATACTATGTGTAATGCTAATCATTGATACGTTCAATTCTTTTGTAAGAGGATGACAGATTAATTTAATATACATAGTAAAATACTAGGATGTTCAAATTATTTTTTAAAGGAATCTTTGTAATCTTCGATTTGTTTTAGAGCAATATAATTTGTTTTAACTAACAGCTGGTTAAATAAAAATGCCCTATTAGAACTATGAGGTTATTTACTCTGATTTTGTCATTGATTATTAGAAATAGAAGATTAGTAGACCACCGAGAAAAGTAACACCATCGATGTGTACAAGTCGAGGATCTGTACACGAGTTAAATGAAAAAGATTTGCAAATTATTTTACTGCTCATCTTTTTTGGAAAGGGTAGGAAAATCACAATTTTTACATGTTTTAATTCGTCTTGGCAGCTTTTTGTTTACAATCAATGTTTTTGAATGCTTGAACTTTGTTTGGATTAGGCCCGGAAATATTGATGTCATAAAGATGGAGATCAAGAATCCTCAGGAATACGATTTTAAATTACCACCACAACCTCAGACGGGTGTTATCCAAAGATATACAGATGAATGCCATAAATTGAACACAACGTCATCATTGACCTAGGATACTGCAATTAGATTAAACATCCTTTTATGAAATCTAAAAAAGTTGTTTGGCGTGTGTTTAGTTGTGGTTACATTTGGAGGCGCTGAATTTTTTATAGTTTAAATAAATGAATATGGGGAATTACGATGTACATTGATTCAATGAGGGTGGTATAATTATCAAGGATATTGGAACTGATAACGGGATGGATAATAAACATAGACAATTAATTACGTCACTAGCTTTACTAGCGTTTTTACTTTTTAAATTCCTTCAAAATGTGACCAGTTCTTTTGTTCAAATGAATATTTTTTTTTTGACTCAGCTGTTTACAAAACAAACTAATATGTTGTTGTGTTTACTTTTCGTTGTTTAAACTTATTTATTTAGCAATTGGTGCTGTGAAATTGACATAAAGGATGTGTGTGGTCGATTCGTTTAATGATGTCAGGACACCAACGTTATAATTATGTGTACTGTGAATTTTATTGGATGTTTTCGTTTTATTTTAGGGAGTTTCAACTCAGACCTACTGGAAATTGTGTATAGTATGAGTAATTGTATTGTGGTAATATTGATTATGGAAGAGGTAGGTATGCGATGGAAGGTGATATCATTGACTAGGCCTATACACTTCTCAATTGATAATTACTCATTCTACTGTAGGCTGCAATAAAAATTTTCTTTATACGTGTAAACTAGCTGTTCTGAATTATAGGCCTAAACCGTTTTAACTGACTACTCCTGTACGTAGGACGGGCTTACACCTCGTTATAATAAACATATTTTTGGCTTTTCACTTGTGTTACTGCCTAAACTTGCACTTTCGCAAAAAACTTCACAAGGCATCTCCCGAGGCGGCATTATCGTCTTCCATGATCGCGGCAAAATCTTGAATACTTCCCGTAGTCATGGAAGAAATATTATCAAGTCTACCGTAATTGCAAATGCAACCAAACCTATGACATCATTACATAGCAGCATCATCTTCTCTCGCGTTCATGGCCCAATCTACCCAATCTAATATCACGGCTTAATATCTCCAGCAACCCGTCGGTGGTGACGGGGAGATCATTTTTCCGTAATCGTGGCAAAATCCTAGATATATCTCTCGCTGAAAAAGAAACGTCATTAGGCCTATCGTCTTTCGCAATCACGGCAAAATATTGCACTTATCTCCTGCGGCAGCGGAGACATTGTCATCGTCACCCGCAGGGAAATGTTGTCGATATCCGCAATCACGGCAAAAACGTAGGCCTAATCTTTCAATTTTGAGAGCGTGATCCTCGCGGTCATAAAAGCTTTTAGTTTAATTGTGCATTACTGTATTGAATACTGAGAAAATCTTCTCGAGCTTGATTTTCTGTCTTTGTGCTTGATCTCTCAAGCTTGTAGTCCAAGCTCTGCTCGGCTTGAAAATCTACATTAGCCTACCTATATTAAAATGATCAACCGTTTCCAAAGCAAAGCGATTTTGAATCGATCTGATGTGGCCTGAGGCCCTTAGGTAAGTAACATTTTTTATATGACTTGAAGTAACAAATCTAAAGGTAAGCCTCCTAATAGTAACGTAAGTCATGAAATGTAATTAAAATCCTTTAGAATTATTTATTAGCTAGTGCCCTAGCCACACTAGGTTAATTTGCCAATTTGGTCGTAACAAAATTGTCAAGTTCATTAAGTTGAATCAGCGTAGAGGTCCCTCTTTGGTGTCACCCACCGGGAGCTAGGAGGATTAACATTAATGTTTCATCCTCCTAGGCCGGAGGCCAATTTTTTTTCCTTTTTTTACATTGGTTCTAGGCTATAAGCTTAAATACGGCCATATTATTATGCAACCAATTTTGACTGCGCCTTCACACAGTCCACTAGGACAGTTGATACAACCTGCATGACCGTTGCGTTGACAATTCTTTAAAGTTACTTAGGTTGGTAGAGAATTTATATCAATCGGTGAAGTAATAGTGTCAGTTTAGCTGTTGTAAACTACTTGTCCTTTATTTACTTACTCTTGTTGGTTTGAACGAATGTTTATCATAAAAAAACGTATGGTAATTCTCATATAAATATTGTTATGGTCCCGTGTGGCTGAGCCTGTCGCACTATCCCGGTCCCGTGTCCTGGTAAAACTTTCCAAAAATCCCGGTCAAGGCTAACGCCCCCCCCCCCCAAGCCAATTTAAAAACAATACTGTAAGCAACTTAGTAAGCTCAATATTTAACCCTCCAAGTGTCCATAGTTTAGGCCTTAATGTCCACCTATTTTTGGCGCATTTGCAAGGTTTTATTAAAACGGATCTGAGAAGCTTAAAACAATGTTAATTCTAATGTTCTATATACCATTTTGTTTGGAACATCATGGGCTTCAATATTATATATAAAACATAAGGAACATTTTTTCAAAAAAAAAATTTTTAGGTAAAAAAAAATATAATTTCGAAAATTTTCAAAAAAAAAAATAAGTTCGCGCTCAATGAAATTGTATAAATTATAGGCCTATAAATATTTGAAAATAGCCACTTTGTTCTAAATTTTATGAGGATTACAAATATATAATAATATAAGGAAGTATATTTGCAAATAAATAAGTTATGGGCAAAAAACTGATTTCAGTACATAGCGTTTAGCTAAGAATGCATAGCCTAACCATAGCTAGGAATCTGGCTGATAATTTACATCAATATCACTACCTACTTCTTCAGGATCATCAACCAGCACTTCAAAACCACTTAAATCTTCTTATAATGCACCACGTATATCACTACTTTTGATTTTTAACACTAAAACAATGATAAACGTAATAAAACACATCAGTCATCGGTCCGGGGGAACCTAGCTGTTTACAAATACACGCACGTCAGCTGTCTGCTACAATATTTTCGGAACTAAAATGAATAGCGCTTAGAGACAGAACTCTGGAGAAAGCTTAGAATATTACGGAAAGAACGATACCTAACTCGATCCAGTTCAATCCGATTCAGTCAGTCATAGAGCCTTCGCCGTAAACGATGTCTGCGTGTCGAAAAATCGACAAGTAACACTACACAAAGTGTGCTGCTTGTCGAATTTTCGTCAAGTAACACTGGGAGGGTTAAGGTCCTTTTTCTGTTTTGGTAAATCAGTGGTTTTACACAAATTCAAAGAAGGCAATACGCTAAGTAAGGCCTAGGCCTACCTAAAATTAGCTCTTAAAACATCAAAAACCAAATTCAAGATGTAACTTAGGCCTAAGTAATTTAGGAACCTTGGCCTAAGTTACATCCTTATTTAACCTTATTTTACAAGTCCCAGGTAAAATAATTGGTAAATAACTTAGGCCTAGGTAATACAAAACTAAACCTATATTTTTGCAAAAGGTTAAGCATGGGATTTTAGGATTGATGGTTGCCAAAAATATAGGTTAGGCCTAAATGCTTTCTGAACAGAATAAACAGCACAACACATACTTGAGAACACCTATACTGTAAGTTTAATAAAAATAGGCTATCTAATTGGACTCATGCTTACCACAAGATGTTGAAGAGAAGATCATGTAAGGCTGCGGCCAAAACCAAAAACTGTTTGACGTACGACTAAAAACCAAAAACACAACCCATTCACGGTACCTGCAACGCACCTGATTCCCTGTTTGTTTATTAGTGTTTTCGTTTTGTTAATAATATAACTTAATGTACTTGCTATTACTATTCTATTGATTGTTTTGCTGGTATGCTTTGCTAACTTAAGTATTCAAGTTTTCCTTTATTAGTCTTGTTTTTGTTACGCCCGTCAGCCAGGCCAGGCCACGCACAGCTGATTCATCAAAACTACCAGGAAATGAAATTATTAATTAAGAGACAGATTCCAGAAAATAAAAATGGCTTATAAACATTGATCACTTAAATGCTTGAGCGAACACTAACAATTAATAGTGTATAGGACAGAAAAATATAACTTGATGAGCTACATGTAAAACTTATTACAACGTTACACAGTATGACTGCTTAAATACATAATGCAGACAGAAAAGGATATGTCTGTGAGACTTTTGTGGGGTAGGGGTAGTGGTATTCTACCCCACGGAAATTTATTTATTTATTTATTTATCATACGGTAAACACCATTTTTACAATCGATAATACATGAGGGCAAGTTACAATAAAATATTTATAAATATATATAAGTCAGATTCAGATTCATCTTGCTGAAAAAAAAATATTGCTAACATGAAAAAATGACACCAACAGGATTGTCCAAAAATGCTTTAACAAAAAATGGATCATGCGTATTATAAATCCTAGTTAACAAGCATAAACATTTTTGCTGTAACTAATTTACCCCCATGAAAAACTACGTCATCTTGACGTTACGAGAGGCGGGGCCTATACACGTCTGGAAACAGCCTGTGACTGGAAATCTACCCCCAATTTATTATTATAATCATCATGTAATTGTTTGCTTATAAAGTGATTTGCCATACCAAATATACCCCCAGTGGTCAAATCAGAAATGTCCGACCCCGGAAATCAACCCCCCGTGGTTAAAAGAGACAAGTGCGACACCGGAATTCTACCCCCGGAAAAGAACGACGAATAAGTTACCTTAAAATGTATACTGGCAAAATAGAGGCTTTAATGAAATCTTTACCGGGGGATAAGATTCCTCTTTTCGGTCTCCAACGTCATTTTGCTGGGAGGTGAACCCGGCCCAAGAGCCCTTCTTAGCCCCCCTTGATTCAGTCCCTGGATCCGCTTCTGTTGGTGAGTGTGTAACTTAACTTTTTTTACAGTACCTACATTTCAAGAAGCACATTATTCTGTTATGTCTTCTCAACCCCATTTAGAACAACGGACAGAGTAACTAGTAGAATTTAAAATCTAAATGGCTTGTTTTTTCTCCATTTAAATTAAAGAAGTAGTATATTTCATCACTAAGGCGTAAAGAGACTCTTTTCAACACGAGCTCAAGTTTTACGAAAAATGTGTGAGGGTTGAAAAGACACTTTTCACAAGTAGCACACATCGTTGGCCCAACGTTGGGAAATGGTCGGCACGGTTGTGAAATGGTTGGCAGAAATTTTAACGATTTGCCAACGTTGGCCCAACGGAAACTGGTATTCGTTGGCCCTACAAAGGAAAGAATCGTTGGGCCTTCGTTGGGTTTAAGTATAAAACCTTCCAAAACGCATTTTAAGGAATTGATTTATTTAAAAGAACATAAATGTTATGGCAGCAGAATATAAGAAAAAAATTGTAAAAATTTTGATCTATAATAAATGTAGTCAGATGATGTTGTGATACAGTACTAGATAGGAGTGGGGAACACCTGCTTAACATAATAATTATAATAATTCAATTTTTTTAAAAACAATATTCTTTAACTTATTTGAGCATATTTTTAATAGTTATAGGGGAAAGATTAATTAATTATATAAGAATCAATTATAACAGTACTAATCTAATGGTAAACAAATAATATATATTTAAATACTAGTATCCTCTCCAACTACCAGAAAAACAATTCAACTACTTGAGGCCTAAACAAATTAACAGAATCATATTATACTGTAGTATCTGTAGTATCAAAAATATTTCAAGTATTGTGACCATACTGTCGGCTACTCTTTGGACCACTTGAAAACACTCATACCTAACAAGCACAGTTAGCTCAGAGGTAAGGCGTGAGGCCCACAAGGCGAAGGTGCCAGGATCGAGACCCGTTTGGGCCAAATAATTTATATCGTGTTTTTTTCCAAAATTAGTTTTTATGAACTACTAGCTAGCCCGACAGACGTCTTACACTGTCCTAATGTGGTTTTATGTCAAATGCTCGTTCATTTTCAAGATGAGCTCGTTCGCATGGCTCATAATCACGTCTTGGTTGAAGTTCGTTCGCTACGCTCACTCATCTTTAGGTTGGAGCTCGTTCGCTGCGCTCACTTGCCTTCAGGTTAGCTCGTTCGCTACGCTCACTCACCTTTTGGTTGCAAATTAGCTGTTGTCATAAATAAAATAAAATAATAGTACTGCACCCGGTTGGTAAACCTATTAAATTTGTAATGCTATTGAACACCACAAAATAAAATTCTTTGAATGAACCAGCTGTTAAGGTTCTTTAATTCCATTTAAATATATGAGTACTCATAAGGTTAACATGGGAAACTCCATAGCCACTGGGGCAGAGCCCTTTTGACAGATCTGCACCAAACTTCACACAAACCATCCTTGAATAATGCTTAATAATACCTGAAAGTTTCATTACAATCTGTAGAGCGGTTTCGGAGTCCATAAAGGACAAACAAACATACAAACAAATATACATTGGATTATATATATATAAATATATAGATTTAATCAATTTACTCAACTGATAATAATGCTTTTCATACTAAATCCTTATTATTTTGTATTTTTTATGTTTAGGCCCAATGGGTTGGTTGGCCCTTCCGCAAAAATTGGTTGGTTGGCCAACCGTAAGACTTAGTGCCAAAACATACCGTTGGCCAACAATCGACAGAAACGTTGGGCCAACGATTTTTGCTACTTGGGTATGCCCGTGTGATATATTTCTTTATGTTGCACCTTTGGCAAATTAAGTTAAAACACAAAATACTTTTTCCACAGTTCCACCTGACAAAGTGGGCTTCCTTGCACTGATTATAGTAGGCCTACGCCAAGTAGCTAATTAATGCATTTACTTACTTTTGCTGCACTCATTTTACTTTTGCCACACAAATTATTTTTGCCACACTCCAGTAATCCAACCAAACAACACAAAAAGTTTAGTTTTAGGCACGTAATACGTGTAGGGTCTACGCTTAAAAAAAGTTGGCAGAATTTAAAGACTCTACGACTACGATCAGCTGATGCAGTGTTTTTCTTTTCGTTCAACGCCTGGGTTTAACCTAACCTAAAAACGTGTTGTGGTGTTTGAAAGACTAATTATTTCTATGCTTTATAGTAACTGTAGAAAAAATAAAACATCGTACCCTACACTAATGTTACACAAATAAAAATAATTATTTCCTACAGTCACCCGACAAAGTTGGCTCCCTCGTACTGTTTATAGTACAGAAAGCTGCTAATTGCTGCATATTTATACTTTGTCGTACGGTTTTTACTTTGCGGCACATCAGGATTCCAACGAAACAACACAAAACAGCGTGGTTCTATTATGCACGTAATCCGTGTACGCTTGGAAATAGGTTGGCAACACTTAAAGATAATAATATTATGAACAGCTGATTGACTATTATAACTACGATTTAACCTGTCATTTCGTGTTAATATAGTTACGGTATTTCTGAACTTTCTGGACTTTTCTTTTAAACGTTTTTAAAACATTCCTACGATCTTAATAAACAACAAAATACCTTTAAAGCATTTTTTTAGGCGCTGAAACCACTTCAAATTACAAAAACATACGGAACTATATTCTCAAGTCGCGGAGCACATTTCTTGCCGAGGATAAATAGCGGAGTGATACGGACCGGGTACTACTTTCTCTAGGGCACCTATTTGTGTGTTGCCAGCTGAACCTAAAAACGTGTTGTATAGTGTTTGAAAGACTAATTATTTACAATATGCTTTATAGTGACTGTAGGAAAAATATAATGTGTAACACGAGTGCAAAAGGCCTTTGCTGCACTCGAGATCATTCCGCACTCGCCTGCGGCTCGTGCGTAAACATTGCTCTCGTGTGCAGCAAAGTGCCACTTTGCCCACTAGTTATACAAATAACTATTTCCCACAGTCACATGACAAAGTGGCCTTTTTTGTACTGATTATAGAACAGAAAGTTGGTAATTGCTGCATCTACTTACTTTTGCTTTACAGTTTTCTTTTTTGCCCCACACCAGTATTCCAACAAAACAAACAAAACAGCGTGTTTTTATTAGGCACGTAATACGTGTACGCTTGAAAATAATTTGACAACGACAAGGCGAGCAGTCCGGAGTGTGGGGACTGTTAATGACGATTAGATTAAGGTGTCTGCAATCGTAAAATGCTATGGGAAGGGAGGAAAACAGGTCCGAGACGTAGGAAGTGGTGAAGGAAGTAGGCAAGGTGAGCAGTCCGGAGTGTGGGAACTGTTTATGACGATTAGTCTGCAGTACAAAAATCCGTGACGTAGGAAGTGATGAGGGAAGTAGTACTGTAAATATAAGCAGTCTGGAGTGTGGGAACTGTTTATGACGATTAGATTAAGGTGTCTGCAATCCAAAAATGCTAGATGAAGGGAGGAAAACAGGTCCACGACGTTGGAAGTGGTGAAGGAAGTAGTAAAGGCGAGCAGTCCGGAGTGTGGGAACTGTTTATGTCGATTAGATAAAGGTATCTGCATTCCAACAGGTCCGCAACTTAGGAAGGGGTAATGGAAGTAGAAAAGGGGAGCAGTGTGGAGTGTAAGAACTGGAAACAGTTTATAGCAGTTAGAATAATGTATCTGCAGTACTGAAATGCTATGAGAAGGGATGGAAACATGTCCACGACAAAGGAAATGGCGAAAGAATTAGTAAATGCTAACTACAGTGCGGAGTGTGGGGAATGGATTCATGTATCTGCAATACTAAGACTGCTTTCAGAGTAAACTAATGATTTCCCCCGAGCAAAGCTCGGTCCCCAGGTACTTCCTTTTAAATATGAAAAATCACAAGGTTAACATGGGAATCTCCAGAGCCACTGGG